AGCTCCTTCCCTCTGCGAGCCCGGCCCGCCCTGTGAAGTCATTGCTCAGCTGGCAGGGTTCCCATGGCAACCGGGCGCCCTCACAAAGGGCCCCGGGAGGCTGGCGGGAGGTGGGCGAGGCTCCTCAGTCGCCCACAGGCAGGGACTGGACGCTGCTCGGAGACGGGAAACCACCTCCAGGGAGGCGGCCCCGGGCACCTGGACGCCCGCCCGCCCGCCCGCCCAGTGCGGGGCCTCGCAGGAGGAGGGCGTGACGAGACAGACACGGGGCTGGGACCCGGAGACGCTGCTGGTGGGCCGGCCTGGCTGCTGGGCCTCACGGGACCGCCGGGCAGCTGCCCCTGGGCCCCGTGGAAACTAACCTGAGAAAGATCCATTCCGGGACAAAGCCCGCCCTTTCTGTCACAGGGAGGAGGGGACTCCGGGAGCCCTTGCCTCCCTGACCCAAGTCCCCTGCCCCGCCCACCCCTGCGCAGCAGCGCCAGCCTGGGGCTCCCCCCCCACCCCCCCGAGAGCACTGGGTCCCCTGGATCGCGAAGCACTCCTTAGCACGGCACTTCCCGTGGCCCGGCCCCTGAATGTACGTTCAGCGCGGACACAGGGTCTCCTTTGCAGTTTCCAACGTGGGGGGGCGTGTGTCTCCACCGCAGAGAGCCAGGAACGAGCGAGGGCAGTGAGGGGCCGGGACAGTGCCACCGCACCCGGGGAGTTTGGTCTTGTCTGGCTCCCCCTCCTGCGGAGGAGGGGTTTGCGGCAGCGTGGGCGGCGTCCTCAAAGGAAGCTCGCGACACGTGGAGATAGAGCCCACAGGGCACTCCCCGGTCCCGAGGGACCACCCAAGGGACCACGCGTCTCTCCTGGGGACGCCGCCAGTTTCACCACAGCCTCACCTGCACTGGGTGTTCGGTGTCTCTGGGGTTTTTGTTTTGCCTTGTTTTCAGATCAGTGTCTGTCCGACGAGCCCGTATGGCGTCTCACTGTGTTCTTCACGTTTGCGTTTCCCCTGCGACGCCAGAGGCTGCGCCTGCCCCGCAGGGGCGTCGGCCATCCACCCCTGTTGCGCCCCCCCCCTCCCCCCGGGGCCGGTCCTCGCTCCTGCCTGTGTCCGCGTCGCCGGTGGGTCCCCGATCGGCCGAAGGGGTCCTTTCCCTGCGGAGGGTCGTCGCCGCTGCTGCTTCTCCATCACGGCCGCCCTGTGGGTCGCGCCTCTTTCCACTCGTGTTGTCCTCTCGGCCCCTTCTCCCTGTTTTCACGCGGCCTCCCCCGCCTCGGGGTCCGTGTGCCATGTCGTCCTCCGCAGCCGGGAACCCTGCCCGCCCCCCAGAGGACGGACAGGTGTCGGGTTCTGTTCTCGCCCAGCTCTTTGTGCGCGGCTGATGTTCCAGAGGTAACGGTCGGCTCCGTCTGGAGTCCGGGGGGGGGGGGGGCTGCAGGGTGTGAGGCGAGGAGTCCGCTGCTGCTCGGTTCACGGGGGGGCGGGGGGGAAGGGGCCTCCTCTGCCCTCTGGGGTCTCAATCAGGGCCCCGCCCCCGGTCCAGGCCCAGGGGGACAAGATCAGAGCGGGGGGAGGCCCTGTGGCAGCCGGTGCCGGGCTGTAGTTGCCATCAGGATGGCACAGTCAGGGCACCTGCCGCCCTTACATCGAGGACAAGAGCTGTTAGCCCAGCCTCTCCACGTCCTGGTGGTCTTGGCGCCTCTTCACATGTTTGGGCCTCAGGTCCCTCATCTGCGAAATGGGCTGCTTGAGACGCTCGTCCCAAGTGCTGTCACGGGCGTCTGTGCCTTCGGGCTCCCGTTCCGCAAACGGCAAGCGGTCCGGTGGGCCCAATGCAGACTGTGGCTCCTCCGTGACCTTGGGCAAGGGACACCCCTCCCCCTTCTCGGACCCTCTGTTTCCCTGCCTGGGACCCGGGGGGGGGGGGATACCACAGCTGCCCCCTCGTGGGGCTGCGAGGAGCTGTCCATGGCGTTCAGGGAGCCCCCCCAACCACGGCACCTCGAGGTGGTGGCACTGCTGCTGTGGCCTTTGCTCAGGAGCAGGGCCTCGGCCGCCTCCTGCAGGGCGGGGCGTTCCTGGTGGCTGTGACGGGGAGGGAGTGGGGGGCAGGGCGGGGACAGGAGGGTTGGGAGAGCGATGGGGTGGGGGGGCAGGGCCCCACAGAGGCAGCCTGGACTGTCCCTCCAGGGGGCTCGGGACTGCGGACGATGAGGAGGGGCTCCCGTGGGCAGCTCTGGGGGGCAGTCTTCCTGCCCCCTGGCCGGTGCGGGGGTCCTGAGGCAGCCGCATGCGGGGGTGGGGGGCCGGAGGAGGGACAGAGCCTGGAGGAGAAGGGGCATAGCCTGAGGGAGGGTGGGGGCCCCCCCTTCCCAGGCCCAGGTGTGGGTGTGGGCGGGGCCCTCCCGGCCCGGGCTGGGTGGGGCGGGCGGCTGCTGGGAGACAGGGCAGCTGCGGATGCAGGGCTGCTGGCGTCAGCAGGAGCAGCTCCCCCCACCCTGGGAAACAATCATCCACAAAATATGCAAATGGCATAATTACTGTTATTTGTTTTGCGGATACGAGTGTTTGAAATGCAAATGTCAAGTTGGGGAGCTCTCTTTTTCCACTCCTGTTCGCACCAGGACTGTCCTGGAAGGTGGGGAGGGAGGATGGGGGGTGCCCCTCCCTCCCTCGTGTGCATCCCCCCTCCCACGCCTGCACCCCTGGGCGCCAGGGGAGCCGGTCTGGGCTTTGCTGCCCACAGCTGCCTCCTGAGCCCGCAGCGCCCCGTGTGGTGGGGGCCGGTGGGGGCGCAGGGCCCCCAAGCGGCACACAGGGCCTGCTAAGGGGCCCCTCAACCTGTTCCACTTGCCCTGCGTCTGGCCTCTCGAGGCCTCAGTTTACCCATCTGTGTCATGGGATTCTCCTGCCTCTGAGCCTGGCTGGTGCCCTGACAGTTCTCCTGAGGGGCTCGGGCCCCAGTCCCTGCCCGTGGAATCCTGCACAGGTGTGGCTCCACCTGTAAAGGGGAGACGGAGAGTCCCCGCCAAGTGTTTAGGGACGCCGGCAAATCCCCACGCACCACTGCGTGGGCCCGTTCGGGGGGGGGGCACGCCATCTCTGAGCCCTCCGGTCCGAGTGGTCCCTGAGGTTCCCAGGGCTCCCAGGCCTGTGGTGTGGGCTGGCCTGGGCTGTGCCTCAGTCAGAGGTGGTCGCTGTCAATGCCTTCTGATGGGGAATCCGAGGCGCGGAGGTCCAGGGCTTGTCAGGGCCGCCCAGGGGGCAGTGATCAGGTGGCAGCTCTGCCCGGTGCCTGGCCCCGCCCCTCCCCCAGGGCGGCGCCTGCGGGGGCTCTGGGTTGGGCTGGCTGGGGACAGAGGGGGCTGGGCGCAGGGCTGGCCTGGGCCCGCAGTCCCCTTGGGCTTGGACCACACAGGTCCCGCGCCCCAGGTGAGGTTGCAGAAGTGATGAGCTGGGGCAGGTGTCCAGCCCACGGGGGGAGGACACAGCCTCCACTGGCCACCCCGACGGACCACAGAGCCCCCCACCCACGGGGCAGCCTGGCCTCTGATCCCACGTGTGGGGGGCCCTGGGGCTCCCCCCTTTGTTCTGCCTTTGGGAGCAGTCCGAGAGCAGCTGGGTTGTCAGGGTGACGGGGCCCAGGAGAGGGGCGCGGCTGGGGCTGGGCAGCGGCCCAGGCCTGGTGGTGGGAGGGGACACGGCCCCGGCCCTGGCCCCGGGGCTGAGGTCTCAGCCTGGAAGTCACAGCCCGGTCCCCAGAGCTTCCGAGCACCCCGCATCCTTTCCATTTTCATTCCGTTACCTTTTCCAAGGCAGGTTTGGCCTCATTTGCATATTCAAATACAGACCATTATTATTTCAATTAGCTGTTAAGTAATTAGCTCTAATTGATGAGCATTCCCCCCACTTCCCCATGTTTTTTGGTTATTTACATCCGCTTCTAACCAGCAATTTTAGGCAATTACACGCCACTCACTCGTCTGTTTGCACACTCACACACACACACTCACACTCACAGTCACACTTCCTGACAAGACAGGTTCCTTCTTGCCTCTGCGTTCCCACTCCCAGCGGGGCCCGGGGGCGGTTCTGTGGGGGACCAGGGGGTGACGAGGGGTGCAGGCGGACTCGGCAGGATGCTCGGCTCCTGCCCGGCCCCCCCTGAGGGTCGCCGCTGCCCTCCGGCCGCTCAAGGTGACCCGGAGCCCCCTCAAACCCCACCCCCAGAATCCCCCGTGTCCTAGAGATGCCGCCGCCGCCGCCCGCGGGCGCCCCTTCCCCTCCCCGCCCCGCCCCCGCCCGGCGGTGCCGCCGCGCGTCGGTGAGTTACGTGCCTGCAGTCACGCTCACAGACATCCCGGCGCCAGCTGTGTCCCAGCGCGCTCCCCACCGCACCCCGGCGCCGTGCCCTGGGAGAGAGCGCGCCCCTCGGCCTCAGTCTCCCTGCGGGCGAAGTGAGGGTCGGGTGGCTGAAACTCGGCGGTGCGATGGGGTGGCGCACGGGAGGTCCTCAGCGTGGACACAACACCTGGCCTCGGGGCGTGCGCACAGGAGGGAGGGGCGGTGGCACTTCTGGGGGGGGTGTCCCTGACGTGGCTCCCTTCAGAGTCGGCAGCCGGCCAGGGCGGGGCTGGGAGGCACCCTGGGGTGGAGGAGGTGACCCGTCCGGGAGGGGCCCACTCTGGCCGGCTGGCCCAGGGTCCTGGCCTCAGCTGTTTCCTCCACCTCTGTCTCAGGGGACGTGGGCGCACGGTGCCGTCCGTGTTCCCGCTGACCTGCAGGCCTGGGCCCCGGGGGCCACAGCCCTCTGCCCCCTCCGCACCTCCTCGTGTGTGGGCAGGCGCCAGCATCTCCGTCTGGTTCGTCGGGGTCTAACTGCCACGTGGTCAGTGCCCACCGGCCCGCAGCCCCCGGCTCAGGCCGACGGGACCTTCCAGAGGCGGAGGTGGCTGCAGGTGGCCTCGCCCGTCCCTCCTCACCCCCCCACCCTGTCCCCCTGCAGCGGACCCGCCTGGTGGGCCCCACGCCGCGTCTGGGCCCACCTCCTCCTCGGTGTCCGGACGCGGGAGGATGCCTGTGAGCCCCGAGGAGAGGACGCCACCAGCCCGCGCCGCTCAGACACACCGGGCCGTCGGCGGGCCCTGACCCGAAGGTAAGGGGCGGTCTTGCTCCTCCGGCCCTCGGCAGGGGGGGCGGGTGCGCCGGGGTCCCGGGACAGGCCTGCGAGGCGTGGGGTCGGACCCGGACGTCCTGCAGAACAGAGGTCCCGTGGGGGCCGGCTGCCCGTCCGCCGGAGAGAACTGGTGAAGGGCGGCGGGCCGCCGCAGGACCTCACGAGCGGGGTGGGGGGCTGGGAGGGTCCCCCCTGGTGAGTCGGGGTGCTGCTGCGTCACCAGAGGGGCCGCCCCCACCGCCCGGTGGGACGGAGTCGGGCTGTGGGCCCGAGTGGGGAGCCACTGAGCGGACCGCAGGGCCCACGCCGGTGTCGACAACCCCGTCAGTACCGGAGAGGGCCGCGCGTGGGAGGGACCATCGGAGACGCTGCCCCGAACGCCGCAGTGGGTGGGCGGGGCCAGGCCGCGCCGGGCCGCGCCGGGGACTCGGCTGTGCTGGGTCTGCTGCAGCCTCAGCTCCAGCTGGAGGGTGGCCGCTCCGGCTACTTCCTGTGGACACTCTCAGGTCACAGCCACGCCCCCTGTGCCCCCTGTCCCCGGTGGCTCTGGGTGGCTCTGGGATGCCGGCTCTGCGGGCGGCACGCCCCCCTCGGGCGGGCGCTGTTTTCCACGTGTGCGATAGAGCTGGGTTGTAACGCCTCCGTCGACCAGCAGGAGGTGCTGCTGGTGAGTGACTCGGTGCACTGAAGGGTGCGGCTTTCCGGATCCGGGTGTTTGCGGTAGACTGCCTGCCTGCCTGCTGGGCCACCGGGGAGTTCCAGCAGGGGAGTTAGGGCCGCAGGTTGGTGCACTCGGCCCGAGGGAGCAGCACAGGCAGGCGAGCAGGCCTCTGGGACAGCCCTGCGCTTTCCTGCTCTGGGTGCTGGCCCACAACACCCTCTGCCCCCCGAGCCCCCTGGTTTTCGGGGAGACCCCGATGAGGGACGCATCCCACTCTGCTGGGCCATCACTGACCCCCTCTGACCCCCTGCTTTCTGTGTGCGGGATGGAGACGACCTCTCCCGGAAGGTGGGGTGGTGGATTTCCTGGCATACAGTAGGTGCTCACTAAACGGTGGCAGGTGTGCCCCCACCCCCGCCCCTAGCATGACCTGGGCGCCCAGCAGACCCCTGCCCTGGCTCATCACGTCAGAGACATGCCAGCTCTTTCCTCCCTCCCCGAGGTTCGGCCCTGCTGGTCCTCATGTATTCAGGCTCGCCTGTCTGTGTGGGGAGCCCCTCAGCCCCCCTGCATAACCCAGCTCTCACACCCCAGGGCGGCGTGTCTGCCTGCCCCCCCCCACCCCCCACACTCATCCCTGGCTCCGTGCGCCGCCCTGCCAGCCCCCTGAGCCTGGGGCGGGGGGGCAGGGACAGACCTGAATGGATGCTTGTGGGCTGAATGGAGGGAAGGCGCCTCAGCCCGGCCTACCTGGGAAGGCAGGTGGCAGAACAGATGGCCGCGGCTCCCGCGGGTCGGGCGGAGGCGTGTGCGCCACACCGGGCCCGCTTCCGAACCGGGGGCTCAGCGCGTGACTCCAGGATCCCTTCCAGACGGAGCATGTGTCTCGGGGCGCTGAACTTTCTGGGTTCCCTTCCTGCCCCGCTCCGCTCCGTTTCCTGGTCCCTGGCCCTCGTCCCTACAAGTGGCTTTTACGGGAGCGATGACTAGGAGTCCAGAGGGACCGTCTCCGTGTCCTGCTGACCCCGGAGACTTGCAGGACACGGCCCAGCCCAGGGCCAGCACGATGTTCAGCACTGTGGACAGAGCCACTGCCTGCACCCGGGCCAGCAGGCCCAGGGAAGCTGTGGGGGGTGGGGACTGGGGTGCTCTGGGCGCTGGTGGAGCCCTCTCTCCTCCTCCCAGGCCTCGTCTCACGCCCTGAGCAGGGGCGGGGCCTCCGCCAGCACAGCTGGTGGGACATACTGGTGACTGGCCCAAGGCCCACCGGCTCAACCCCCCTACCGCTGCTCCCCCAGCCGGCCAGCGTGCCCGGCCCCCTCCCCCACCCCTCCAGGGAGCACAGTTGCCTCTCGGCCTGACGGTGACAGGCGGCGGTGGCTGGAGTCGGAGCTGCTGTCCAGAGACCCGCTGGCGGCGATGGAGCAAACAGCCCGAGCTAATTAGGAAAAGGTCAGCCCGGTTCCGGAGGCCGGTGTTTGAAGCCGGCCGCGGTCGCTGGAGGCTGGAGGGAGCCTGGGGCTTTGAGTTAGTGGCTCGGTTACCAGGACGGCTTCCAGCTCCCGCCCACAGCTCATGCCTGGCTACTCGGCCCACGACTCCCTCCGAGTCCCCGGCTTCGTCTTCCGGAGGTCCCAGTGCCAGGGGGCCAGCCACCTCCCCTCCCCACCCCACCCTCCCCGGCAGGGCAGAGGGAGGCTCAGCCCCGAGCTGCTGGGGGTCGGTGGGGGGGAGACAGGGCAGAGGGAGACAGCCCCGAGCTGGAGCGGGAGACAGGGCAGAGGGAGGCTCAGCCCTGAGCTGGGGGGGAGGGGACAGGGCAGAGGGAGGCTCAGCCCTGACCTGGGGGGGGGGGACAGGGCAGAGGGAGGCTCAGCCCCGAGCTGGTGGGGGGGGACAGGGCAGAGGGAGGCTCAGCCCCGAGCTGGGGGTGGGGGACAGGGCAGAGGGAGGCTCAGCCCCGAGCTGGGGGGCGGGGAGACAGGGCAGAGGGCCGCTGAAGCCAGGGGCTGGGTGGCAGCCGCCCACGTGCCCCTGCATTCCCTCTGCGTCCTTTCTGTCTTTTCGGAGTCAATTCACTTCTTAAAAACTTAAATACATTTACTTAAAAGGGAAGTTTTACGGCACGCTGCAAATGGAAAACAAGCCCGCTCTGCCCTAAATAGAATTCATAATCGTAAAAATGAATTTGGTGGAGACAAAACCATGTTATTGAATTCCAGTCGGAGGCTGCGGCCCGGGGGAGGCCGGGGCCCAGGGCCTGCCGTTGCAAGCTCGGAGCCGCGGAGCGGCCGGGGCGGCCGGGGCCCCCCCGGGCCGACGGAAGGCCGTCTCTGCGCTGTGAGCAGCAGCACCGAACAGGACGGAACCCGGAGTCACTTTCTCATAAGATTAGCCGGCACTGCTCTGTGCTGTGTTGGCCGGGGGCGGCCTGCGGCTGCACGGTGGAGGCCTGAGCCTCCCCGCCCCGGCCTCAGTGTGCCCGTCTGTGCAGGGGGCGCCTCGCCTCTCCTGGTCTACGGCCCGCGGCCCCCGGGGTCAAGTGCTGGTCCATTCCAGCCTTTCCTCAGCGGCTGTGGGACCACAGCCTTTTGTCCCCAGCCCTGGGGTCCCGGAGCTGGTGGGGCTGGACCTCGGGGCCTGAGAAAACCCAGCGGAGAGACCAGAGGGGGTGGGCCCTGCGGACGGCCACTGGCCCCCACCCCACCCCTGCCTGGCGAGGGAATCCGGCCGGGGCCCGGGGCTCAGCGGTCTGCTTCCGGACGTTCACGAGTGATTCGGAGGGTTTTCTGGTCCGGGACCCAGCGCTTTGGTCCACCCGCCACCAGTGCCAGGGCCCTCTCTGACATCTTGCCACTCCTTGCATGCCTCTGGCAACAGGGAACTCAGCCTCACACAGCTGCCCATTCCTTTTCAAAACATTAAAAAATTTATTATAGAATATTTAAGGTGTCTCAAACATTTAAGAAATCCCTAATAAATATTTCACTGATTATAAAATATTAAATGCAGCCAGAAGTGTGAAGACTACCTCCGTGAACACCTGGAAGCTGTCCCTTCCTGTGAAAACTGCACGCCCCCCACCCACCCCGGTGACTGGCAGGCCCTGGACAGGACGTGAGGCCCTGCCCCCGATGTCCCCCCAGAAGTCCCTGCAGGGGTGAAGCTCCCGTGACAGGCACAGACCGCCTTCGCCGCACAGTGCGTGGCTCAGCGTCGGCTGGCGTGTGCACGCTGGGCATCCACACCCTGGCCGTCCCCGGGAGTTCTCCATCTTGCCCTCCCCCTGAGGCCCCGTGAGCCGTTCGCTGGACGTTGTGGCGATGGCTCTTGGGCCGCTGCCCTTCGGCTCCGTCTCTGGGACCCGTGGGCGGGGCCGGCTCTGTGGCGGCAGGCGGGGTGATGTCCGGGGTGGGCTGGGGAGTGGGTGCTGCTCAGGGGCGCCCCGTGCGGTGCCCGTGCCGTGGCCTCCCCTCCGTGGACCTCACGGCCCAGCCGTGCCTGCCCTGGCACGCCCCTCCTGGGCCCTGCAGCGAGGCTGGGCTGGGGACCCTGGCTGCAGCCAGCGGGAGGGCTCTCCGGGTGGGGGGGACGTGACTCAGACACGCGCAGTGCCCGTCCACGGGGCTCCTCGGGTACTGGGGCCCCCCAGGCCCTTTCCCTCACCAGACCCCCCCCCGCCATTCCCTCCGCCTCTCCTCGGACAACCTGGTCATGTGACTCAGTCACCCCAGGCGTGAGCCAGGAGCTGTCGGTGGTTCTCGTCGGGAGTCATGTGGCTGGTCCCCCGGGGTCGTTCTGAGGACAGGAGGCAAGAACGCAGAGTGGGCGGGCCACCTGCCAGGGGCACAAGGTCAGGTTCGGGCCGTGCGGCCCCAGGGGACCATGCCCCTGCCCCGCTGTCGTGGGGCCGGCTGAACGAAGGGGTGGCTCTGGGGACAAGGCTGCGGCCACAGGTCGGGGGCCGAGGCGGGGGGTGTGGGTCCCGGGGCTGCCGGCCAGACTTCCGTCCCCTGAGTGCTGGAAGCTTGCAGCTGGGTCTTCCCCCGGGGAGTGGTGGGGGCTGGGTGGTTGCAGACGAGGCCTTTTATTCTGGCGGGGGCATCCCCTTCAGCTCAGACTTCCCAGACGTTCCGAGGCACGGGCTGGATCCTCCGTGGGCCCTTTCCCGGGTGGAGGGCAGGGGGTGGGGCTGCCGGCCCGGGGCCAGCCGGTGGGGCTGGGGGACGTCCTGGCTGCGGCCCCAGGCTGGCTCCCCGCCGCTGCCGGGGCTCCTGGTCACGTCCTCACTCTGCTCCGGGGCTGCAGTCCCTTCCCG